AACTCAACTGTTTCAGGAGAGGATCCATTTATCAGCAGCCGACAGTTCCTCATATAGAATCTCCGTGTTATACCATGACTGTGCTGTCAAGTTGTGTGGAAGAATCCAGGAATGAGCAACAAGTATTTTACCTGCTGACAAGAATTGCTTTGGGAAGCAAAAGTTCAGAAGAGTTGTTAGGAAGGTTTACCACTGATGGCAATCATGGCAAATATAAAGCACCTCTGAGGCAGAGTATGTCTGTTTATCTGCTCCCACGTTTATACATCAGGCTTTTTGTACATGTAAAGACAAGATACAGAGATGGGTGAAAAATGAATGGGAGAGCTAGCATAAAGTGAACAATGGAGAGTTTTTAGTGGAGTGTCTCCAAAGCAGCTCCGGTGCTCCTCGACCAGAAGAAGGATTTTTCCTTCTTCCATAACATAGTCTCTCATTGTGTCCAAAACACTTTTTCATCCTCATGAAGTCATTCAGTGACCTACAGCTGCAACCATTAGTCAGCTCATTGATAGGAAATTAACTGGTAACTATTTTGAAGCAAAAATCACCAACGTTTTCTGGTGTCACCTTCTTTAACGTGAGGAACTGAACCTTTTCTTTGTCATACATGATAAGACATTTAAAGGTATCATCTGTGTCTCTGGAAAGTCACAAAGGCATTTTCCCAATGTTTGACATTCTGTGAGTAAAAACATAAATAATCAAGAAAATTCTCAGCAGATTAACAAGTGACTTCAGCGGTTTCTTTATTTTCATTCAGTTTGGATTTTTCTTTGATTTGTCACCCAACTCTGTTTTTAAGGTTAATAAGTCATTGTTTCATCTGCCATAGTTGAAACCCACATGCTGTAAGCTTAGATACACACAGCTGGAGAAAGTATGTTTCAATATTTGGAGCTTGGATATAAATTCCATTCTAGATGAAATATCTGCCAGGCTCCCTATACCACAGAGGTTGGTCTGACCTCATTTACTGTATGCTGCACTGCTGGGGTTCAACTGGTGGTCAACAGATGAAATAACAGAGATGGCAGATGATATTCACTTGATGCTGTGATTTGTAAGATAGGTTTGATGTAATTTCACTTTTGACTATCAGATATTTATTGACATACAATCCCTGGAGGATTTTGACTGAATAAAACTCCATGAAAGTTATTTCTCAGGAGAACTGAGACTTCTCACTCAGCTACAGAGTGCCTGGCAGCAGATGACTGTTATTTAACATTGACTTTTTAAAACTTTGTATAGGAAAAGAAGTAGAAACTGACCACACTGTGATTTAAAGAGGGCTGCTGTATTATTATACAACCCACCATCAGCTCCAACATGGAGAGCTAAATGTCACTCTCTGCACCACCACGCTGTTCTCTCTTTGTTCCTGTCCTCCGATCTGAGCAATTAGCCCTTGTTAAGAAGGAACTACATTTGTGAAACACTATTTCGGTGGAGGAAGTCAATTTACTGCCGCTTTCTGTTTCTATTCATCTT